AGGAGGTCATTTTTCGATTTTTTCCAGAATTTTCCTAGAAAATGTGAAAAAGCGGGAAAAAACATGAGAAAAACGTAGGGAAATTGGGAAAATCGGTACAAAATTAAACAAATTTTATTAAAGAAAATATATAAAGCCTATTTAATTATTTTTTTTACCATAAAATGGCATATATATTGTTGACGAAGCATCACTATCAACTGAACTCCGCTCAGAATCGTTTTTTCCATAGTAACGGTTTATCATTGCTTAAAGATATACAATAAATTCCCGTCTGTATCTTACCTTCCCAATTTCCCACCTACACCAATGGCTGCACCCGTCCCTATTATCTTACCTGTCTTTTTAATATTATCATTACATTAAAAAGGTTGAAAACCACTGATACGGACCATAGGTTCTTAACCTTTGGAATACTGATTGTTGGAACTGTCTGACCTCACAATTGAGGGCCAGTACTACGTTTTACACCATCTTTACAGGCGCGACTAGAGGGGGAGGGCAGCCGGAGCAGTAGCCCTAGGGCCCGGGTTCAATCAAAGCAACCAGGTCCTATATTTTACTTAATTTTTATGTTAATATGAAAATTATTTGTAGTTTAATTTCAGAATATTTTACTTTAAAAAAAAAAAACACATTTATATTATACTGACAATTCAACGTTAATAATATAGTAATTACTATGTACCAGATGGTATATATTATATAGTTATTATATGAGTGATAGTAACAATATAATTTTCAGATGGGGGACAAAAATAAAGTAGATTCCAAAACCTATTTATAGCATAATATAGACACTAGGTTGGTATCTCTTGAAAAGGAATGGGGAAGAAAAGCTATGTAATTATACACAAACATTAGCTTTAAAAAAAAAATCTGTTAACTGCTGAAATTAAAACACTATAATATCCTACTGTTTATACTAAGTTTACATTATACATTTGAGTAGACAATTATTACTTATTAGTAAAAGATTATATTATTAAATAACTAATATATAATAAAAAAATTGTAATTTACGCTTACCTTTATGTGCAGACAAAGAAGTTTCTGGCTTTTGACGCTTTGGAGTAAATATAATATATTTTTTCAATAAAAGTATTATAGAAAATAGACAATAAATAAATTGACACAAAAGATTAAACACAATTTGTCAATGGTCAGTAAACTTTAAATACCTATTATCCAATTTCATATTTTCATATCTGTAAATTTCACTATAATTGTTATCACAGGGCATATAAAAATAATACAAATTCCATTATCTATGCTAGCCACACGTCCGGTTATCGTAGATGCACATAATAAGCGTTCACTGATAAAGTGATAAGCAAAGGTGGTTATCTTCTTCGGTATAATATATAAAGAATATAAATAATACTTATAACATTTATTTCGATGGATTCAGAGTATAAATCTTTTTTTTATAATTTGTTATTTGCTAGGGGGGCATGACCCTCATTTTCCCCCTCCCCCAATGGGCTTCCATGGTGATTTGTGCTTTTGAATACCCTTTAGGTACGTACCTATCTTCTTTTTGTGTTACACGAAAATACGAATTTAATCTATTTCCCAGACTACGATGACACATAAACGTTAGTTAGGTTGGCTACCTGAATTATAAATCGAAATCGTTTTATTGTTAAAGTCGACGAGTACCTGATGATATCCAGGAAGATGTCATTGGGTTACAAAACTAAAGTTTTTTTTTTACGAGTAAAAAGAAAAAATGGTCATCAGCAAATCGAAGTGGTCCGATACCTTCCGAAAGTTCTCGAAGTGATCCGTAGTATCAAAAATGTTGAGAACCACCGTACATATAGACCAACGCAGACAGACACGAGAACGTTCATAATTGTTGTTTATTGATGTTTACTTTTCATTCACTTGTGTAAACCAAGAACTTATATAGGTACGCTCACGTTTTATTATTCTAAATTTAGGTAAGCATAATGAAAATAAAAAAAAAAAACCTAAACGCGATTATGTAGTATAAGCTGCCCGTATAATTGCTCGAGGGCTATAATATATTATTATGAAGTAACGTATGTAATATTACTTCACAAGTGAACTCGAATAAATCCGGTTATACCAATGCCATCTATAGGTACACATCGCCAATATTTATAATGTCTCGTCGGGATGATTTTAATCACGATGACCAAATGGACCGATTATATTATTTCGATTCGGCGACTGTCGATAAAAAATATATTTAACGGCGTGGTGCAGCTTGCGGGCACGCGTGACGTCATGCTGTATATAATATATAGGTAAATCGCGAAGTGACACAACAGTTACTTACTGGTTTTTATTTATTATTTTTTTTTTTTTCTCGCTGTAAATCGAAGAAATTATGAATATCTCCGCAGTGTTTAATTGTAGTATAATGTTTATGGCCAAGACCGCGCACACCAATCGTTTTCACAATACAGGTACGCAGGTACGTCATGCACAATCGGTAAACGCCGAAGACCAACGGTAATATCGCGTTACTTAATAAATGTTGCAGACGAGTATGGCGGAGAGAAAAAAAAAAAAACCATTTACTGCACAGAAATTCGAATGTCCAATAATTGAACTTTGGGATTACTTATTAAACGAACAAAAATAAAAAAGAACCACATGGGTAATCGCACGGCTAAATACATTTGGCCACGGGCAATCGTTTCGGAATTTCCCCTAATTACGTTTTTTTTTCTTTTTTACTTTCTTTGCGCGACCATGGAATATACTTGCTATAATATTATAGAATCGTAAACCTGCCCATGCGTAAGTACTTGAACGTTCATTCGTATTTTGTTTACACATATTTATTTATTTATTTTTTTTTTTTAAAAAAAATTCGTATACACTCGCCTATTATATTATACGTTATTGTTATTATTATCATCATATGTGTAACCTACAATTATCGTATATCCTCGTGTTTCTCCGTTACAGGTACCTATCTAGTGTAAGTACCACGAATTAAAATATATCTGGTAGTAAGTACCCATTTATACTGCATTACTGCAGTATGTTAACGTTGACAGTAACCGTAAAAGAATCATAAATCTCTCAGTAACTACCTAAATAATATACGCGGCGTGGTGAGTGTTATTTGATTTGAGGACAAATTAAATTATTTAGGAATCTAGGACAAAATTTTGCCGAAAAGAAAAAAAAAAAACAAATAATGAAAACGAGACAGTAAGTCGTAGTTTATTATCGGATTTTCATTGACTTTTCTTTCAAATTTTACCAGGCTTAGGACTGGCCGATATTGAATTTCAATGATTTTATAATATGTCGGAAAATCGTTAAACGGACGCGTTTAAAAAGTTATTTTGGGCGTTTCCTGACATGTTCACCTTCGTCTTCGCTTTCATCCCGACTGTGTGGAGTCGGCCACCCATACGAGTACATTTTATTCGTTTTTGTTATTCGAAATGATTGGGTACACGCATCGGAAATGCGGAAAATACGTTAAAAAAGAAATATCACGATTTACATAATATAATATGTACAGTGTACACGATACATATATGTTAGGTACCCACATTAAAGCTATATATATATTTCTCCTCAACTTTTTTGTTCCGACAACAGCGGCCTACCCAACGGTGCGAAATACCTATATGAAGGCATTCAAAACAAAAAAAAGTATCCATTAACATGTCTTGGCGGTCATTTCAACAAGGAAACTGCAGCTATATATATGTGAGTGTCTTCTTCTTCTTTGGTTCTTATAACTTTTGCCATCAACACTACTATTGCAGTCACATTTTTCAATTTTAGACAATATCTATCCAATCGCCGAGCATACACCCAGTGGCGCCAAAGTATTTAAAATTTACTATGACGTTGTACATCAAGAGACCCCCTTCCCAAATTTTTCTTTCAAATTAACAATTACGAATCAAAGAACCCACATAATTCGATGTTTAAGTCATTCTTTTTTTCATTTATTAACCGAACAAATATTTAAATGCATTTTTTTATCTAATTGTACATAGGTAAGCTAGGAACTAGTAAGCTGTGACCGTCCTCTTTATGATAAATTATTATTTACTTTACATTGACTTTACTAATCATTCGCACATTAAATTAATTTGTCTTTACAGGTACTTAAAAATTTATATAAATAAAATTCTGGCCCACAACAAGGCCCTAGTACACCTTAGTGGGCCTCCTCCAAATTACAAAATCTACTATGAAACATGTCATAGATAAAATTAAGTGATCAACGCTACTGCATACACTGGCTACAACAATATTTCAGTTTTCGGTTGTAGAAACATCAAAATTTATCTAATTTTTTTTTTTTTGTGGTGTGGTACAATACATATATACATATAATAGAGCGGTTTTCATTTGGATTAAAATTGATCTTGTTTTTGCATCTCGAGTCAATATTTTGTGAAATAAGAAATATTTTACGTTAAACGAATGACTGCATTAGCAATAAAAATAAAAATACACATTATAGTAAAACCAACACCAGAATTTAAAAAGTATGGTAGAGTATAAAAAAAAAACAGTGCACTATATTTAATGAAATCAAACTATATGGATGGCTGCATAATTTATATAACAATAATTGTTGAAATTTCCTATGCAATTAATTTTTAAAATTACAAAAATGATTAAGTACACTATTAACATATATTATTATGTACCTATTTAGTATGCATCCTAATTAAGTAGGTATCTGCAGTGTTAGCTGCATTGGAACAAGACCATAAGTAAAAATGTACTAAAAAAATAATTGTTTTACATTATAAAACTAATTATAAAATAATTTAAATAATAGCCAATGACCTGGCTATTGTAATACATTTAAATGTATTATAATAATAATAAAATTAATCTATAAATCAAAAATTGAATGTATGCTATGTATGGTGATAAAATATTATCGTCAACAATTTTTCTATAACAGTTAAAAAATAAAAATAGGTATACTATTATTTAATTATGTACTTATACAACTAAGATACCAAACTTATAAAATTAAATTTCTAAAAAAAACTACCTACATTAATAATATATTATTCACCTATATTGATTTTTTAAGATTATTCAATGTAAATAAATTGTTTTTGGTAAATAAGTACCTAGTTTCATGTTTAAACTATAGAAAATCATTGACTTAATAAGATAGAAATAAAAAAATATAATATGTATACATATATTTTTTTTTTTTGTGGCATTGATGTTGATTTTATTCATCAAGTATTCGGTTCATTAAAGTATAATTAACTGTATAGTACAAAATTGTAATATTTTAAATAACACTATTCTTTAAGAGGGTGACATACACACATACTCAGAGCCTAAAACCATTTAACAGCGCTATAATATAATATCATCTACAAACAGATTGTGCAAAAACAAGTAATTAAATTGATGGCAAAATAATATTAGTTATAAGATTAGATATGTTTTGAGGGGATAAAAATAAATGTTTATTCAATTTTTGTCAACGTTTTATATTTTGAACAATGCACTAGCCTTTATAATAAAAGACAAAATAAACTTGCTACACGTTAAATAATAAAATATATTTCATAGAAAAATGTATTTACAATGATCAGATATAATAAATAATATAATGTTGATATAAACCTATAATCAAAATTATTTACCTACATTGTATATTTTTAAATTTCCATCAGTCTGTCTATAGCAGTAAGTACTTCATTGTAATGTTTTCCTAAAACAAAAAAAATGATTAATAATTACAATAGTGTTCTTTTTCAATTAAATTATGAATATAAATTAGAACTAGTAAAATTAGAATTATGCCGAGTTGATGTATTAAGTATTTTCAAATATTTAATAAATGCCATAAAACAATTTTTTAAATCTCAATTTTAACCAGTAGGAGTGTATAAGGTCTCAAAAATTTCTCGAGTTTTTAAAATGCAATGATTTGTCAATGTTTCTATTTTTCAAATAATAATAAAATAATGGTTTTATGACGCGCCCAAAATAGTAGTCTGGTTAATTAACAATCACATACTGCACACTGCGTAGTCTATATTTTACTTTTCTTTCTTATGAATAAATGAAAAAATTATTTAAAATTAAATTACCTCCGGTGGGGACCTTGAAATTGCCACTTATTAAACAGTCTTTAAGTTCGCAACCAGCACTTATTATAGCATCATGACACACTATACAGTTCTGAAGTACACACCTGAAAATGTTAAAATCTTTTAAAATGTTATATAATATGTATTATATTGTTATTATTTAAAACAAAATATTACATAGGTATAACAATAAAAAAGTATAAGTATATAAACAAGGCTTCCAGAAAAATTGTAGATTTAATTTGTTTAATAAAAAACTTAGTTTATGGATTACAAAAGGTATTATTGTTTTTATTAGACATTAAGAAAAAATGTATGCCTACAAAATTACAAATTTATCTAATAATTTAATATAAATTAAATTACTAAGTAAAATAATTAAAGAAATTTACTTTACATTGTAATCAAGAAAAGTTACATAATAATATAAATAAATATATTTGGAAAATAATTTAACAGATAACAAATTATGTGCATAATAATTTTAAAAATACTGTTCAATCCCTAAGAACAATTGCTCTAACACTTTAAGATAACTAATTAAAAAATAAAAATTTAATCGTTGAGAATCTTTTTAAATAACATAAATAAAAGTTAATAAAGTTAAAGTTACTAATTAAGTATTCAAAATTACTTCTTCTATTTCCAAATGTTTGGAAATATTATTTAATACAATTATTGAGGTATGTATTTTTCAAACTGTCTTCAAAAAAGTTATTGTAATTCCATTGTTATAATCGGCGATAAAACTGTACTGGTAGATTATAGACCCAATACTTAACTTTATATTTAGCCAAAATGTAAGATAAACTTGTTAAAATCAGAATAATAAACATAATTTCTTTTCTTGTAAATAATGGGGCTATAAATGATGTTCTATTTATTTTTACTAACTTCATTTTTATAAACGTTAATATGAGGAATAATGTAATTGATTTTTTAATTAAAAAATTACACTATGTTGGTCTAAGAGGGAATTTATTAAAATTAATTATGTCATAATTAAGTGGTAGAACCTAGATATTCATGGCTAATGATGTATTTAGTAATGTTACCCAGGGTTCCGTTTTAGAACCATTGTCATTTAATATTCATGTTAATGGGTTTCTTAATACGTAAGGCAATATTTATAGCTTGTTGATTATACTGTTACTTATTAATAATAAAAACATTGATTTTTAATTAATGCGTTTCTAATAAATATATTTATTTATGTCTATAACAACTGTCTCTTTAGTTAATATTATTTACCTCTCTTCGATGATAACACCATTCATTAAAATACAATCAGTAATTCTAGTTTTTGGATTTATTATACACCTTGAACCAATATTACTGCTTTTAATCGAAGTTTTCTCCATTATTTTAGTATGTGGACCAACAAAACACGTATTCTTTTCAAATTGATTTGATAAGATTTCAGCTTCGGGAGAAATTTTATCTTTTTCATCTTCTAAATTGAGGTTTAATTTTGTTATCTAAAAAAAATAAATTATTAAATAGATTTTTTTATTTAAAAATCATTTGCTATTCTAATTACTTACTATTTTATTAATTCTACAATAATCAAATAAAGTGTTAGCCCGTACTCCAATATTTGAGTCCATTATACAAGCATAACATTTAAGTAGATCACCAGCACACGATTTATTACCAACATCATACAATGAACTAATATTAAATTCTTTTGGTATATTAAATATATCGACTTTTTCATCGTTTTCATCCAGGCTTTCATTTGGTTTTCCCTTGGCTTGGCCTTGAACATGTTTAGATAATTGTTCTTTTACAACAAATGGAAGTAATTCTCCTTTTAAAGTTGCCATACTTCTAAATGACATAGTTTAAAATTATGATTAATATTTCAGTCATCAGTAAATAATAGTAGATATAAATGATTTAATTTACTTATTTTTTGATAAATAATCAATTATCCAACGTTTCATGATGTACATATGTGAGTCTAATAAATTTGAACATAGAGATAGATTTAAACATTTATTCAATAATGAACTACTTAATGGCATAGTTTCTTCATAATCTGAAGCTGAAGCCATTAATAATAATCTAGAAGTTTTTGAATCATATCCAATTATATCTTTTTCTGTAAAATTCAATAAGAACATTCAATTTAGTGAAAAACTAAAACAAATACCACTTTACATATTTGCATATGCTGACCATAAGTTATGTTATAATTTTATTAAAATTCCTCAAATGTTCATAAAAAGTAATTGCTAGTATGGATATTGGATAATCACATACTAAAATTGTTGATTTTGTGGTTTTATATTTTGAATGAAGTGAGAAATTTATTAACTTTGATTTGTTTTTATAATTTTTGAGTTTTAGATCACTATCAAATACATCAAAATTTACAATTTTTTTTAAAGAAGTCATTTCAAAATTATACAAGGATCTCAAGGCCTCCTGAGTTTTGACGCACCGAGAAATTGTCTTATTTTACCCTATAATAGTTATGCTACTCCCAATAGCTATAAGTATTAAAATATTAACAGCAAAATAAATATTTATTACTTTACCTAGTTTGTTTTTAGATTTAGGTCCAGGTACTGTGAAAACACATTGTTCATCTTTTGATGTAGAAAAATATAAAGAAACTAATGATGCATTGTTTTTTCTATATGTATTTAAAACTTCATGTAAATCAACATCAGTTATTAAATCACAACTTAGAACAATGACATCTGTCTAAATTAAAAACAATGTAAATAAATGGTATTTACAAAAATATTCTCATAAAGTTCCTTACTATAATAAAATCAGAAATGTGCCTAAGAGAATCGCTTGTACCCCAATCTTCATCAGATGGAATTGGAACAAAACTTAAATTCATTTCAAAACCAAGACGATCTACTTCTTCTTGTATATCACTAGCATAATTATCCGCAACTATTATTTTTGTTTCTAAAAAAGCATTAATACATTTATTGATTGTAAGTTTTTATTGCTGAAACCTAATAATTAACAATGTTATTAATTTTAATATTTACAAAATACGGATTTCAATTATTTTAACTCTTAAGTATATATTACCACTGAATCCGGCGTTTTCGAGTAGCTTAAGAGGATAATAGATCATCGGCTTATTGCCAACTGGTAATAAACACTTTGGTTTCGTGGCTGTCATTTCAGGTATACGGGAACCTTTGCCAGCGGCCATCACTACCGCCTGGAACTCTAACCAATTTTGCATGTTGAAAATTTGGAAAACGTAAAAAGGTGGCGATTACTTTGTGTTACTGCGCAGGTATATAAGTGAACTTTTAGACTTTCTCTAACGCCGTTGTCAGAACTCGAAAGTCAGATTATAATATGGTGTGATAATTGGATAATTGATAACGGATGCGGTGAGCTTGATTTCTAAATCTATAAGAGTTGTGAATAGAGTGATTTTGATTGGCTCATATTTTTATGGCGGCAAATTCAAAACAGCTGCTATGAGCTATAGTGTTACAAATGGATTATAGCAGGAAAAATGTCTCACTGTCTATAATTTCATTATGCCGTTTATCATTGTTTTAGCTTAAATACCTATTTATTGAAATAATATTACAGAGTCGACAATTTTCAATCGCTAACGGTACAATTTGTGTTTTTGAATGACATACCGACGAGGCGCAGTACATTTTTGCACTTTCTTTTTTCATTTTACTCTATTACCGACCCGATGTGGTTTTGCACAACAAATCGAGGGTTATTTTCGATTAAAACAGTCCGAGCAAACGCAGCGCGGTGCACCCAAAATGCTTTTTCTATGCATAATACGACGATTGATAATTGATATCTGATAACAATGATAAACGGCATAATGACGTCATGGACAGTGAGAATTGCCGCCATAAAAATTTGCGTCAATCAGAACCACTCAAACTCTAATAAATTTAAAAATCATGCTCACCGCATCCGTTATCAATTATCACACTACATAATCCAACTTCCGAGTTCTGACGACGGTTTTAGAGAAAGTCTAAAAGTTCACCTATATACTGGCACAGTAACCCAAAGTAATCGCCACTTCTTTACATTTCCAAATTTTCAACATGCAAAATCCATTCGTAACATTATATAGTAGTATAGCTCATGGCAGTTGTTTTAAATTTGCCGCCATAAAAGAATGGGCCAATCAGAACTACTATAATCACAATCTAATAAGTTTAAAAATCAGGCATGCAGTGAATCAACAGATAAGCGTTATCAGCGCAGTCGATATTCCAGCCGTGTAGATTGTGCTTTGTAGTTCCAGAGCAGCTGATTCCCGGACAACGATGCCTCTCCAGTAACCCAGGCCTACGTGTGGCGGTGCGGTCGGGGTACGGGAGACCGGATGAACGATCATCAAAGGCCCAGTGCAGCCATGGTACCGAAAAACGCGATTACTCGATATTTCGAGGGGTTACCCGTTTTCGAGGGGTTTTTCAACGTTTGCGGCGCGTTTGAGCGTAAAGGCCGCGACCATGACCAAACCGCCCTAGCGGAAAAATTGTCGAGTTAAGTAGGGGATAACTAGTGTTTTACGGTATTTTGTTGCGCGTCAAAACCATTGGACTACTGGTACCACTGCACCCAGTTGCACCTTTCGGGAACAATAGACTTGTAGTATAGTTTACTAGGTAGTCTGGGAAGAGAGAAAGCCTTACCAGTTCCTACTCAGTGCTCCGACCTCCATAGATATCTGATATCCATAATTTTTATTATTGTTGTTGGTAACTATAGTAGACCACTTTTTTACTTCCCCTTTGTTCGTCATCCGACCGATACGCCGCGATAACAAAGGGTAATAATAAATATAAAATGGATCCGAAGTCTTCGTGATAATCAATGTGTGTGTCGTTTGAGAGCTGAGGCACCATTGTCCGTAGTCCAACGGTTCCAAACGCTCATCACTCGACGCCGTCGCCGCCCCCGCCACTGCCATGACTGAAGTCGCAGGGTGATTAAGGTCAAAAACCTCTTGTGCCAAGGGTTCAAGGTTGTTGTTTCCCGACCGGTTGACTATGCGACGTTAGGCCGCATCAACAGAGCACAAACACAGTCGCATACACACAGAACAGTACAGTAAACCTGTAGAGGACTGAACTTTGATTTGATACACAGATAGTCGTCGAAACAGTGATTGTTGTGATACCTAATTAAAAGAGTCGTACGCTCTACCCGTCAAAACTGGCTCACCCGGGATTGCCCAGGCGTTCCGCCAACGTCCATCCCGATGTTCGACCACTCATCGAACATGACGAACCTCTGCTGGCTATGTGGCACGAGAACGATCGCTATTCATTTGAAGACTCCGACCGTTTTGAAGAGGATTCTTTGTGTACATGGAGCAGTGAACCAGAATCTGCTTGCATTAATTGGAGAGGATGGAGGAAACCAACCGAACCAAACTCTGAAGATGGTTAGTATTGTCTTTAAATTTATTACCTACCTACTTATACTTACCTACACCTAACATTTTTGTTTACTATTGTTTTGTTCAAAAGTCATTTAATAGATTTATACTTAATACCATTGAATATCTTAAATTACCTAATAAAAGTTTTTTTAATAAAGTTCCTTAAAATAGGTAGGTACCAATTTACCTATACCTAATACCTATGCATAGGTATTTAATAAACTAGTAGCGATTACCTACACTATCTATTTTTTAATTGTTAGATTTTTCTATCAAAATGATGTTAATAATATTTATATATAACACTTAGAAGAACAAAATATTACATTACTAACTTATATAAAAGTAAAAGTAGTTGGGTACTTATTCAATTTAATAATATAAGTATGTAAGTTAATATCTGTTGAGTTTTTGGTTTTTGTATGTATTCTATTGTGTATATTATATGTAATATCATCAAAATGCTCAGTTATTATTTAAAATCAATTTTTAGTGGTAGTTTAAAAACTAAGTTGGTACTTAACCTATATTAGGTAGGTATATATTAGTAAATATTTGTTTAGTAAGGTACCTTTTCTACATAAAAAATTAAAAAAACCTATATTCAATAAGCAATTATACCTATTGGTATTATTTATATTGTATAACTGATTATTCATATCTCTGTTAGTGTAGTTTTTATTAATTTTAATATTAGGTATATTTATTGTTAATAGGTTTTTATTGGACATAGAATAGTATTTCTTTATAATCTATAGAATTAAGATTTTAAATATAGAATAAGATTATCCATTATAATCATCTATGGTTTTCCTACTAAGAAACATAAAAAAAAAAAAATATTATTTATTTGTGACAAAATGTTTGAGCCGTGTTTAAATAGATTAAATCAATAAATAGATATACTTAAATTATATTCCAGATTTCAAGTTTTCTGCAAGTATGAATAGTAGAATAGGTAGATAATTTGTTTCGATATAGAAATGTTTTTATATTTTTATTATAATGAAAATTACCTAATTATTTAGTGGTTTTTTTTTTTTTCAAGAATGGTAGAACATAATAGTTTATAAAAGCTAGAAGTAAAAATTTATGCTAAGAAATTTTAAAGTAAATACATTAAAAAAAAATATGAATCTTAAATTATCAACGGAGACGTATTTAGGATAATGTTTCATGTTTTGCAGTGTCAAACATTTTCTGACATATTTATTAGCACGTTTCCTTATGTTCCTCATTTTATTTGGAATATCTATTCAGTACTAGTATAAAAAACAAAATATCTACTAATATAATATTTGAAAATGTGAATTTGTTTTCCCTATTTATAGGAAAACGAGGAAATTACAAATATTATCCATTTTTTTAGATAACTATTGATAAATATTGTATAGCTGGTAAAATACCCGCTGTGGCATCATCATCAATTATTAAAGGCCATGCCTTGTTGTTGATGTGTCCAACTAACTTTAATTTTGTTGCTTCAATCATTTTCATCAGCTATTTTTTTTCTTTTATTTCTTCTAATACTTGCTCATTTCTTTTCTTGTCAATCCATTTTTGTCATTCTTGTCTTTGTTATTTTTCTCTACATCCACATCTTCGTTGTTTTCAGTTTGATTCTGTCTTTATTATCTATTGTCCATGTTTCACTGCTATATGTCAAAACACTTCAAACAAATGTCTTAACGAATCTTTTGTGTATTCCAATACACAGGTGTTTATTGGTAAGAAGTTGATTCTTACTTTGGAATGCTTGCTTTGCTAATGTTATTCTTCTTCTAATGTTTGATGTTCATTTATTATTAGAAGTTATGATGCTTCCAAGGTAGCACAATTCTTGAACTTGTTGTAACCGTATATTGCTTATTTTTATATTAATATTTAGTTCTGGGTTCATTTTAATTATGAGCACTGTTTTGGTTTTCATAGTATTTATTTTCAATTTAAATTGGCCAAATGAACTTGTTAGAATTTTTAGTATATTATTCATATCTTGTTCAGATTTTGCTAACGTAACTATGAAATCTGCAAAGCAAATATAGTTTATGCATTGGCCATTTATTTTTACATCATTGGTATTTATTTATTACATCAATGCTTGATTCAATTAACAGATTAAACAAATAGAGTGACAAGTGACATCCTTGTCTCACCCCTCTCCTTGTTCTTGTTTTTTTATCAACCCATTTACATAAATTTCTGTTGTTTGATCCTTTTATAAGTTGAAAACAAACCGTCTACCCTTTCAATAAATTCCTTTTTCTCTTAATATCTTGAATAAAATCTTCCAATCCACTTTATCATAAGCCTTCTCTATAAAATCTGACTTAGTGCTAATATCGTCTCTCTTGTTCTTCTTCATCTACATTTATTTTGTTTTCTACATATTTATTTTCAATCTCTTCTTCACCTTCATATAATTCTTCTACATACATTTTTCACCTCTTTACCACCTTTTCATTTTCAAACTCTGTAGCCTGATAGTAGTTAAATAAAAATTTAAAAATGTACTACATTATGCCTACTTTTATTGTGTTTATTGTATAAATGTAGGTATTAAACAGGAACCAATTCGGCATGTAGGGTATGAGCTTGGGAACTAATTTGGATACATCCATAATATGTACCTATCAGAAAGAAAAAAAAGGCTTTTTTAGAATACCTGGTATACTTAACTATTATATTCTTATTTAATAGTATAATAATTTTTGATTTCCGTCAAACCCGTTGACAAGATATCCCACTTTTAAGTTTGGGTTGGAAGAGAGTAGTGGAGTATCATTTGTGTGGCGGTACAGCGCTTGGCGTATTAACAATACACCACTACTCTCTTCCATAATTAGTGTTTTCACTTGAGTGAATCATCCTATATATATGAAACTTAACCTTAATAATTATATAGGTGTATATAGATCAGGGGTGGCCAAACTGCGACTTTTGAGACGCATGCGGCTCTCGTCATAGATTCATACTGCTCGCATCTTATCGTAAGATACAAAACATTTTTATAAACAAATATAGTGTTTTTGATATTATATTTTTAATTATTAATTAATATCTTATTTGTTTAGTGTTCATTTTTTTTTTTTTTTTTTTTTTTTAAGTTTTTTGAAGTCAGAATTACACGTTGTTAGAGCAGTACTCAACAATTCCATTAAATTATCATTCATTAAAATTAAGCGATGTTAGTTTTTTATTATTTTAATTATCGAGTATAAAGACTCGCAAGAATATGTTGTTTCGAAATTTGATATCTTTTCTTATTTACGATAATCATATACGTATATAATATATATATATTAATATGACATTTTAATTTATTTCGGCTCTTCCATATTTATTAATATATTGGGCGGCTCGCGAGGCTCTTCTCTCTGGCCACCCCTGATATAGACAATAACAATAACAAATAATAATAACATTACATGGTATCTCACATTTCTTGTTTAAAAAATTTAATTTTGACATTTCTACAAATCTAGAATAATAATCAGATATTAATATATATATATATATACACCAGTTACTATTTGGTTTAAATAAGTCTATAGCAATGGGCACCCGCAGGAAATTTATCAGGGTGATGCATAATAAAATAATAACTTAATTTATTCCTTAACTTAGACAAATGTCACTCTATGACCTCCGCTAGGAAACATAATCCCATACTACACTCATATTCTCTTGGTGGCTACCCCCTGCTGCGTGTTAATCCTATCAAAGACCTAAGATTCTACCTTTCACCCACCCTCCCTTTCAAACACCACATCTATGGTACTGTTTGGAGGAGTTTCAAGATCCTCGGGTTTATCAAGCGCAATACAACCCTCTTTACCTCCGCTATCTGTCTCCGAACTCTCTACTTCAGCTTCGTACGTTCCATCCTTGAGTATGGGTCAGTCATTTTGTATCCTTTCCTTTCCTGTGATCAACTGCGTTTTAAACGAATTTAAAATCGCTTTCTGTCTTTAATTGACTTTCTATTAAAAATTGAACACGCACATCATGATAACACCCTTATTCGCTCTACTCTCAATATCCCTACTCTGACTTCATGTTCATCACCTCATTTCTCAACTGTACTATTGAGTTTCCCGATTTACTAGTCGCTGTTTTATTTCGTGTTCTCCCACACTTTACGAGACATCATTCCCTTTTCTCTATTCCCATTCATCTTACTTCGTATGGTCATAACCAACCTCTCCACAGAATGTTACTCCTGCTCAACCAAACTTAGCCCTACCACTTTACCCCTCTCTATTCACTTACTTATTATCAACCTTTATATCTACACTAGTGTATTTTTACTAATGCCATCCGGGAGTATAATTTCCGTCGATTTTCTCTCTTTATCAAAATTTGCATAAGTATTATCACAGATAAATAGAATATTTAAGAAACTATCAGTTACACAATTTTACGTTTATATTATTTTTTATCGCCCTTAATTTTAGAAGTGAAATCACTGTTCGTTGAAGAGTTAAATTAAATTTTTAAGTTTGGGTGATTAATGGAGCATCATTTTGAGTGAAGGCACAGTGTATGCCATTTTTATAATACATCATTATTCCTTCGCAATCTAAACTTAAAATTGAAATATCTCATCAACGGATTGACGGAAATGAATAATTCCAACATACAAATTTAGTTTAACTAAATTCCATTTTTTTTTTTTGGATTTTTAATATTAAAAAAAGAACGGACATACTTCGCACGTGGGCGCAGCCATTGTTGTAGGTAGGAAGTTGGAAAGGTAGGATACAGACGGGAATTTAATGTTTATCTCTAAGTAATAATAAATCATTGCTAAGGAAAAAAACGATTCTGAGCGGAGTCTAGTTGATAGTGTTGCTTTTTCAACAATATGTATGTCACATTATGGTAAAATGATAACAACAATGTGCGTTTCCATGACAACAATGATTGTTTAAAAAAGATTAAAATAATAAAAAATAAATAATTCCACTCAGAATCTAAAATTTGAAAAGAAATTTGAAAATCAAAGTTGGTAGTGGTTTGATTTCCCAAAAATAGGGTGACAAAAAATAAAATAAATGTAAAATGTTGTTGTTTATTTCTTAGAAATTCTATAAAACAAATTCTGATAAAGGTTAACATTTTTCTAGATAATGAATGACCTACTTAAATGGAATACTCTGTACTTATACACTATTTGCCATTGTAACTTTATGTGAAGCTACCTTATGTTATGTTATACTACACGGTTTAATAATTAAGTATGATATAATATACTCATGCGCTTGTGAATTGTATTATATACATATGAAACTTAACCTTAACAAATCGTATAGGTATATAGACAACAACATAATAATAAATAATGATAAAATTACATAATATTGATTTTCAAACAAAAACTCTCACTTTTCAACTTATATTTTAATAGAGAGTACTTTATGTATACAGTTTTACTGCTTATGAGCTATATCCTCTGTTATAGTAGTTCAAAATCTATATATGAGGAAGTAGAAAATATAGAATAATAAATATTCCATCTATTTTCAAATGATAAATGGATCACTTGTAGTTACCAGTTCCATATTATACTTTAACTTATAGTGTTTGTTATGTAGATTAGTTTTATATGAACACATATATTGTAGGTATTAAATTTATGCGTGTATAATTATATTAAAGTAATGATTATAATATTGTAATTTTATAAAGGAGAAAATGCATATTAAGTATGTTTTATTTAGTATAATTGACCTAGTTACCATTGTTTTCCATGGTTTACACTCACCAACAGCACTGGGTACTTTCAATTGAAATGTTGTTTCACAAGTCATACAATGCAACCGAATATTATCAGTTTTTCTTTCTTTAATTAGCTATAGTAATTAATTTAATTGATTACTTTAAAACCCATAACAGATGTGCACTACAATTTAATAACAATATTAATAACTATTATATTGCTCGGTGTTTTTTTTTATTTATCTTCTTTTTGTTATAAATACCTAAATGATTCATTTTTGATTAAAACATATACATATAATTTAATTCACAATTGATATATTATTAAGTAATATCTAAAGTAAAATAAGTATCTAGTGAGAGGTACTTAATGTAGATTAATCTTGATTGTTTGATATTTACGATATTATTATATAAAAATACTATTGTATACAATAAGATAAGAAATGTAAATTAAATAATTTGTCTATATTGAAATAATATGTTTGCTTGTTTTAAAATGTTGAATACAAATTTGGCATAATGTTTAAATGTTCATGAAGTTATTTTGTTAAGTTGGTATGCATTGTGTATGTTTGGTTATTATTTATTGGGACTTTGTAAATTGATTGTATTTACTGCTGATATAGGATTCAAATAACATAGTTAATCTAAAATCAAATTTCTTTTTTCTCTGACTGTTTACATAATATATCATATTATAATATTATTTTCGAAGAACGGTCAATAGGTGATTATCATTTTTAATAAAGAATGATTTATAATTATGATTTTACAAACTATTCAATCTTCTTACTGACAATAGACAATTATCGCATCAATCTAAATTTTTAATGATTTGGTTCGAGATTCAAACCAGTGAAATTCATTTTGATGAAGACTGTCACAAAATTAAATGAAATTTATTTTGGTTTATTTCTACAGTGGGAAAGTTTTTCACTAAATTCAACAGAAAAACTTGTATTGTTATGGGGATTGCTGATGGTTTATATTTTAGTAAATTTAGACCTAAAAACCAGACAAAACTGTAGAAACTGAGTTTGACGGATTTTAATTTTGAAAACGGATTATGGCTCTTTACACAGAATATTAAATATTTAAACATTTTTAAATGGAAATCGTAAAATAAATTCAATTATATTTTTAAAAAAAATTTCGTTCAAGTGTTTTGTCTTTTACTTACAATAAAAATAATTACAACGTATTCTAACAATTATTAATAGTGGCTATTAAAATGTAAACATTTTTCATACAACTGGAGAACATTTGGAAAATCGGTACCAATCCCCTTAAATGATAAAATTTAAATATAATTAATAGCGATGGGCGGAACAGATATTTTGTCCATAGATTGTTTTGAAAACTATTGAATAAATTAGTCGATAGTTATCACTCGGTAGTGCCCATCATTAACAATTAACGATTTTCATTTATATGCATATTGTAACTATTAATGTAGTTACAAATTGTAATATTCGATTTTATTGTTGATTATTTTATAAAGTAATGTTTAAACAATTCCGTGGTGTGATAGTAAATTAATAAATATGACAAAATATGATAATTAATAGGTTTATCAGTATTTAATATTCTCGAGAAAATTATTACATAACAATTAATAATTATGACTACTAAAAAACATATTATATGCAATGTATATATATACCATGTGATATAAAATGGATGTAACAGCCATTTTATCAAATAAATATTCAAAATAAAGAAAACTATATAATACCGAAGTTTTTTTAAATTATAAACTCCCAAAATACTTTGTACATTTTTTTACTTTCTTTTAGGTGAAGGGTTTGCAAACATATCTTCACCATTATGTTTGTCAAAAGAGTACAGGTTTTCATTTGAATCTTTAAAATTGAACCCAACCCCTCCCTTAAAAGACGTAAAAAATGTATAAATTATTTTAGGCGTTTGTAAATAGAAAAGAACTCGTACCTATTAAACATTTTTTCTCTTTTTTGAATCAAAATATTTTATGTGATAAACTAACATAGGTACATTTTGATTCACTCTGTAAATATATATATTAGTTTATTTAAAATAAAAATGTACATGTAAACTCAGAGGGTAAATATCTGATCAATATTGTCTACACCGGATTCCAAATTCCAGAATACCGAGAATCCCAATGATTTCCGAGATTTTTATATGGGATTTTCTGTAAGGATCGCCAAACATTTGTACACCGATTTCCGTTAGTTAGTAACCTTCTGTATAAACCAAACCTCTATCATCAAATCACAAAATTATTGCCTTTCTGAATAATGCAACATTTTACATTTTGGACTTGAAACTTTTTTTTTTTAAGTTCGTTTCGGGTCCGAATATAAAATATTCAAATAGTGTGGTTCGGTTTGTGTTTCAATAAAATATTGTTCGTTTCGGGTTCGTTAATTTATAGCGAATTTCTAATAATTAATTTTTTTTTTCTTACGCGTTTTTAGTAATAAAATCAAGCGATTGATAAAACAACCGATTACACAATACCGTCATTAGCCAAATAAGTAACTAATGAAATAGAAATTGAAAAAAAAATACATTTATCGTTGTTTATTAAAATTATTTATTTATAATGAGCAATTATCGAATTAAAAAATAAAAAATTATACGTTTAGGTAACTTTGATTTTTAAATACACTGATATGAATTGGATTAAACGTTTAATATTTCTACTGGGTTTAATATTTTCAATTAAATGATACACAAATACTTCGAGTAAAACAGTAATTAACATAGCACATTGTTAAAAAAAATATTTGTTTTCATTTGTTTTAAAAAATATAAATATTGTCCTCGTGTTTGATAGCTATTGCTAAGGGATACCTAATTCTTAATTTAAAATACGTTGTTAATATTATAACGCAACAAAATCGATTGAATATTTGTGTCGTGTTCAGAAAAAAAATAGTTCGATTCTAACTGAGGTCAACCACTTTTTTATTCGAAAACCACGAAAAGCTCTAAACTATAATATTAATAGGCGCTCAACTTTCGTAAATAATATTTGGGTCATTCTCCAAACTTGGTGAAATTTCAATCACAGAGGTATTAAACAAAAATGATTGTCTGAATAATGTTGAATTATATTTCCTTTGTTAGTCTACTTGAGATCAGCATTTTATTTTCACTTGAAATTTTAACAATTAATAAGTACCTAATTTAAAAAATATTTCATGCTAATATTGTCCCTCCCTAGCCCTGTCACAAAGCCTAGGTTTTGCATTAAAAAGTAAATAGCGCCTTTTTTTTTTCACTTAGCACCTTACATTCGGGTAGGTACCGTTATTCTCAGTAACATTTTAGGTATTGAATTAAAAAAGAATTGAATCTTTAGATGAAACAGATCAGTTATAATAACATGTTTAACTTCTGTCACGTGGTTTGGTGTTACCCTTTAGCCGGTTTTATAAATTCCCGCCGATATCTTCAGAAAAAGAAATTCATGCTGAAAACTAGCGTGGTAATACTGTCATAAAATATAAAATACGTGGGTCACTTCGTTTTGTTCTGTAACCTTATCAATTTCTTCTCATATGTGAAGATATAAGATAATAGCAGTGGAGGTGAGATGCAGTATTTTTATTGACAGTCACACCCTAGAGCGTATCAAAATTATACAGCTAAGATGTTATTTTTTGTAATTTACGTAATTTATAATTCTAAAACGATTGGTTTTTATTATTTAGTTGTTTAAGTAATTTGTTATATGCGAAATGGCTATACATTTTAAACATTTGATTTAATGTTTGTGTTTTATATAAAGTAAAGCTAAATACACATAAAAAGTCATAACTTTGTGATAAGTTTTTTTTTGTTATATAACTTTGAAGTAAAAATTCATGAGTTATTTACTTTGAAGTCATAATATTATTATAATTTATGTTTTCATGCAGTTTAAGTTTTTGTTTTAATGTATGTATTTTATTTCATTAAAAAAAGAAATTTTATACAGAAATGATAGTGTACTTATTTCATTTTGTCACTCCTTAGTATATGATTTGTTTTTTAAACTAATATGATTCAAAAACTAAGACTTTAAGTGTGTGCCTATTTCATGAGATTGTCAAAGACCATTTTACGAAGGTAATAATTGTTTAACAAGTTTAAGAATTCGACTTCTATTTCCGAAAATGTTTGATGACCAAACAGCACTAAATTTGGAGAATGGCCCATCTAGTACATCGCATACTTACGCACAGTCCTGGGACGTATAAACCCTTTTTGAATTCAGGGAAAATGTTTAAGTGGTCAAATCACACAAAACCATCATGGCAGTGTTATTGGATCTAGGTTTTGCGATAATTTCCCCCCCCCCCTCCCGATTTCGATCAATAACCGTCGCCGTCATTTAATAACAGAAATGATAAACGTATACGAATACATTTTTTTCGAAATGTACCTTTATATCAATTTCAACACCGGTGTTTATCAATTTCAACTAAAACTTCATCCATTTATGACATTTTCAATATAGGCTATTTGAAAATCAAAAGTGTAATCTACGAAGTATAATGAGTGTCGACGGTTGATCCCTGTTTATTATACTTATGCGGTACTGTTTAGACTGAGTCTTTTTCTGAAAGAAAATCTGACGGTGTTGGTACTTTAAGAGGTCATTTCCCGAACGAGAAAATGAACGAAATGTACGAAGTTATTTTAAAATCGTAAATATAAACCTTTCATAACATGTATATTGTACTCCGCTCAGAACAGTTTTTCGTTAGCGATGATTAATTGTTGTGTATAGATATAAATTATATTTTCCCTTTACCTTCTCAACTCTTTACCTACAACAGTGGCCCGCCCATCATGCGAAGTATGTCAGTTTGTTTTTTACATTTTTTTAATCAGTTATATACCCGCGTTACTTATTTGCATACGAAAAGTGTCTGGTTGTATAGTAAGAACATGTTTTCGAAACAATTTTCTGGGGGTCTGGAGTGCTCTGTATGTGTATACACCTGGTCCGTTCGGTTAAGACGAGCGTCGGCTGCGTATATAGCAACACAGGTGAACAGGTTGCATTATGGGAGGGGATTGATAAATGAACATTTCCCATAAAATACTATGTGCAGTGTAATTGTATAAGTACCGATTATTTACGTTATTTTGACTTCGAAAATAATGACGAAAAATCAAATTAAAAAAAAAAAAAAAAAAAACGAACTTTTATTACTGATTGATATGTGACACCTCATTGTATAGGTGGGAAGTTGAAAAGGTAGGGGTTACATCGAGTTATTTAATTTATATCTGTACGCAACGATAAATCGTTGTTAACGAATTACGATTGGTGAACGAAATTCCGGTGAACATGATGTTTTCAAAAGCTGTGTGATTTTTACGATTTTCGTCAAAATTTTAACTTATAGAAGCTTATAAAAAAAAAAAAAACTATTAAATTGCGCTCAGTGCTTTTTTAGCATCAAAGTACAACTTATGATGAACCTTGTTTTAAATTTTCAAGCATTTTCGCTTTGCCAATAAATGATATTATATTTACGTAAATTGAAAAAAAAAATATGCGAAATGTCGCATGGTATTTACGATTTCTATTAAAATATGAATTTTTAAAAGCCCCTAAAACGACTTTATTACGTAAAAGTATTCTTTTTAACTTTTTTTACTTTTTACGAACATTGTGTACGATTTTCAATCAATATTTCTGCTACGCCAAAACGATTTTATCCCCGTAAAACCAAATAAAAACCATCGAAATTCGAAATAATGTCAAATGATGAATAGCTTAAAAATCGCCCGCAGAATGTATTTTCAATCAAAATCGAAAATAACGAAACCTTTATTGTTATTTCCGCAGACGTTCTCGGTTATTATTGAGAAAATTCAAAAAATCAAAAAAAAAAAAAAAAATGTTCTCTCCAATACACCGACTAAGATCCAAAAAGCTGTGTGTGAAAAAAAAAAAATCTCGTCGTTTTTCGATTTAAGCGAGATTTCTGGTAATAGTGTAGTGGCCGAGAGATAAATAAAAAATAATACATTTAAAACAAAACAACGACAAAGGAACCCCACATCGTAGGAAACCCGAGTTCAATATTACACTTTCCTCGTCGCGCTCGAATTCTAATTAAAAAGTCGGTCGCGCCGATACCTTACGGCCCCCGTGACCCGCCGTAGTCGTCATCGTCGGAACTCGAATCTGTTTTATTTGCATTTTCCAATTGTACGCAGGTATATAACCCGGCCTTTTTACGATTTTTATCTCCTTCCTATTACTAGGTATTATTTTTTTTTCTTTTTTGTTTTACACGGTATTCACGTTTTTAACTCTGCGCGCAGTTGTCGAGAAATCGATACCGAAAACGTCTAATTAACGACGCGGTCGTCGCGTTGGCGCGTGTAAGTCATAAAAGAAAAGAAAAAATTGTACGCCAGGACGTTATTATTATTATTTTCCATAATCGTTTTTAGGTTCGCGTGTATTATTATACACGTGGGGTGTACCTACCTGCCCGCCAAGCGACGAACATGAATAGTATACGTATTTTGCGTTCTGCATTCCGATAATATTTGAATGGCCGTCCGAAGACGTTTCAAATAGATTTCCCCGGAATTTATTTAATTTTCGTATAAATTATACACTAGGTGACACGCATGACTATTATTATTATAATAACTCGAGGTTTTGAGGTCCCAAACGTAATAAGTAATAGGTAGTATAAAACGTGAAAAAGTCCCCGTATCACTTGGTCGTTTTTTTTTTTTTTCTAATCGAAGTACCCTATACCTATATAGGACATACACAAGGTACTTACTGAAATTAATGCTATCTTCTCTCCCCTCCTCGGAAACGAAAAAGGAAAAGTGGGTTCCTATGCGTACGAAAACCCGGACTGTTCAAGTCTGGAACGTATAAATCGAAAGGATCCAGGGTTTTACGGATATCGAGATTTGAACCGTACAAACATTTTAGAATTTCAATGACATTGTAAAGTTATCGTAAGTTGTATAGTTACCTAGTTGATAACGATAATTTCGTTGAAACTCAACAATTTTTCATTCAATGGCGTGGTTAGTGACATTTGATTGCCCGCAAATCAAATTATCTAATACCTTCCCCCGTACAAAATTAATTTGATGGCCCGCGCGTGGGGAGGAGCTTTATTCTATAAATATTTGAATCTTCTTTTCCTCCTTCACCTTTATTCCAACTATTTGGAGTCGGCCAACCTCATTCTGAACTTCCGCTTGATCTGATCTCCCACCACGCATATACCGGCTGTTTACATATCATTCTTAATCCAACCATCTTTTCCGGTCTTCCTTTTTCGCTCTGTTTCCTCTCTCCTCGCGATATTCCTAAACCATCCTAGTCTATTTTATATCATTTTGTCTACTATTGAAGATACGCCTAATTTATATGCACTCGTTTCTATTTTATCGCGTCGTTCCACTCATCCACCTTAGTAATCTATTGGTATTTGTATAAGTCCCAATTCTTCTCATAAGCTCTCCAGTTCCGTGTTCCCAACTGTTGTAGATCTTTCTTAACTTCGTCTATCAATCTGCTTCTGTGACGTCCTTGTCTCCTCGTTCCTTCTATGCTTGCATACATTACCCGTTTGGGTATTCTGGCTTTTTCCCCATTCCTTCGACATGACCCAATTATCGGATCCTGCATGATTTTATGTATTTCATTATGTTTTCAATTCCTAAAATTTGTTCTATTTCCTTATTGTTTCGTATCCTCCATATTCCTTTGACAGTGTCCAAGTTTCAGCTCTATAGCATACTTCAGGTCTGGTTTTATATATTTTCATTTTAGCGACCTTTGACAGGAGTTTTGATTTGAGAAGTGTTATATTGGCATATTATGAGCGGCTGCAGCCCCTTAAATACCTTCTGGATACGTCATTGCGATATAATCAATTCTGCAGTTTGCTGTACAGTATCGTCTAACAATACATTAATACGATAATATACAATATTCCAATGTCCATAATCCGTATAATATAGTTAGGCATTACTTAACTAAACAGGTTCAATGAATTTCTTACATTACAAAATCCTTGAATACCATATTTCTGAAGAATCTCATAGCTGGGTTTCGAGATAAAAAAACACGAGTATAAATATTTATATTGAAACTTGAAATTAACATTATTCTATTAAATATCAACCAAACGTCAAACAAAATAAAGCCCCTCTGTTAAACGCTGACAATGGCTACATTTTGTACGTATTTGAATTTGAAATGTACTTGAACGGTTTAAAATTTACCGTCTCGATTGTGATCATTATTGTGATTCACGTGTCACATATTTGATTTAAATACTGTAATATGATTGTAAAAAAAAAAAAATCGAAGAATATTGATGCAAGCCTTTATTTTAGCCTATAAACTCGTCGTATTTTAACTTTGTCATCGTGACGTCATTTTTTCATACGCAATCGGCGAAAATTTCGATTACTCATAGGTGTATATACTTAAATTATATTAAATATGTTTGCAAAGTATGAAAAATGATAATATAGGGGTAATACTATTGAAACGCAATATTTTAGGCGCACAAAAACACAACAGTAAATATAGTAGGCATATAACAATGACGGATCTATTTGACAACGATAAGATATAATCGAGAAAGTCAGTTATCTTAATAAATATTGTTAAAATCCCAAAGTTTATTTACAATAGTTGTGTTATTCTTATTGTGTCGTGACAGTAGTTCATGTCTATACCCATTTTGCAGTATAATTTGGGAATTGAGAAATTCTGTACATTTCCACAAAGTTGTTTCGAAAATACATTAACAATCGAGCGATTTGAAAAAAAAAAAAACCAAACGACCCATAAGTTGAGTTAATTTTGTCTAGAACGAAATACGTAATATCGCGTGTTTTTTTTTTTTAACCATCGGGAAACCCGATGAGAAATCATATTTCTAGTAAGTATTCTAGATAGGTATCACCAGTGGTCAGTTTATAACCCATAAACATTTCGGATTAAATGGAAATGCAATTAATTTAGAAACGTGATTTCTCGGCGATTTTTTCATACAAACCAGATTCGCGGGTAATTTTGTGTAATGCCGTTGTTCTAGGACACGATATAACCGGGGAGGATTTTAGTGTGTATAGAGCGCAAACAAGTGTTTGTTGTTTTTTCTTGCGAGGTTTTAACAACTTTGCGACTAGACAGTGGAATCATATCCGCGGGCCGTTTTTCCGATTTTCCTTGTAATGTTCTTAATAATAGTGGAAACCGTTGCGTTGTAATTTCTTAGGGGAAAAAATCCCAAAGGTCTCGCGTTAGGCCACATAAGTACTTTCGCGAATTGCGTTGTCGTTGAAAACCCTTAAGTTTAAATCAAACCGGCTTTACTATTAATAAGTAAATATTAAATTTTAGTTTTCACCGGCTACGAAAAAGATATTACTTATGTAAAATTGTACAACTGAATTATTATTATTGTCTCGGGTGTTTCCGTCAGCATGGCTATTATTGACAACGTCATACTCATTATGGAAGTTAATTGACGCTAATAAAAAGAAGATAGTAAAAATATTATTTTTAATGAATTCGCCAGGAATTTAAGATCGGTGTTATATTAATTATATTAGTTTAAAATTTCTATATTATTTGTTATTAGTATATTACTAATTTATATTATTTTACTACTACCTATTTATTATACACATGTTGACGAATTCGTTTTAATTTTTCAGAGCCCAAACAGGGAGTTAAACAACTGGTTGAGTTAGCCGCCAAATGTGTTGCTCTGTTCGTACCTTACGAGCTTGTCGAACAAGAGTACCCACCTGTACCGGAAGAACTACAGATTCGCATAGCCTTTTGGAGCTTTCCTGATAATGAAGATGATATTCGTTTGTATTCGTGTTTGGCGAACTCGAATTCGGACGAGTTTATACGCGGCCAAAATTTATTTTCATCCAACTCAGTTAAGGATTCCGTACAAATAGGATTTCATCTGAGTGCCAATGTACATCATGGCAACCGAAATGTGTTCAATGTGGCGATTACGTTTGATCGAAAGAAAATCACTACATGCAATTGTACTTGTGAGCCTTTGTCGTATTGGTGTTCTCACGTGGTTGCAGTCTGTTTACACAGAATATATTACGTAAGAAATATTATTTAATTTAAAATAAATCTCTTATAGAAATTATTTATTCTATGTATTCAAGTATATTACAGTTTTTGCTACTAATTTGTTAACGGTCTACCACTGACATTGACAAACATTAAAAAAAAATACGACTGTCAGACAACTTTTTAAACTGTATTTCAAAGTTTTTTTTTTATATTTCGACGATCAAGGCACTATTGCATTGTTTTAAAAATGAGAGAAATACTAAACCATTGCATTAAAAAAACAAAAATAAAAAAAGTTCAAAAGTTTAGAATTGCATTTGTAACAGAAGTTCAAACAATAACCATTAATAATAAATTAACACCTCTATTCGACTACCTAGCTATGAAGTTGATACAAAACATTTTTTATTTGTTTCAGTGCTTTTAATTGATTTTTTTTCCTTTTTAAAATTCCTCATTTTTTTTTTTTTTAAATCGTAACATTACAACTAACTTAATATTAATAAAAAAATAATACTTTTAATAGTGAATATTACTTATTATAGACCTTAAACATATAAACAAAGCATTCAGGCTGGACTTGGGGATGTGGTGTGCATGGGCGTAGGCTGGATGGCACGTTTGGATGATTGCCATTCCTTGTGGGGTTTTTTTTATACTAATAAGAGCATAATGATTTAATTAAAATATGGCGAATACATAATTTCATTTGCCCCCTCTTCTCAATATATTTCTGTGGACCTCCATTGTTGATGGCGTTTTGTGTGCAAATGTAAAATAATCCAAGTCTTATTATCAGCGCATTATGAAAGGATCATTGGAACTATGTATTTACATGCTCTGTATATGATTATAAAGTCTACAGTTAATACAGAAAGAAATATTTTATTTTTAGTGGTTACTTAAGTATCAAATTTGTCTATTTAATATGTTTGTATTTTTTATTTGTACAATTTAGCCTGAACAAGTTCGATTAAGGGCACCTGTTAGTGAAAGTCTTTCCCGTTTAGGAAGAGATCAATTACAAAAATTCGCACAGTATTTGATTACCGAATTACCTCAACAGATACTCCCTGCTGCACAAATATTATTGGATTCACTGCTGTCTTCACAACCAACAGCTATTAATTCTGTAAGAATTTTATTAGTTTTAGTTAAAATGATAAAGATTATATAATATTAATTTTATGTATTTATTTTGATTTTTTTTTTTTTTTTTTTTTTTTTTTTTGATTTTAGACAAGTGGAGCACCAGATCCAACTGCGGGTGCATCTTTAAATGAACAAACAACATGGTTTTTAGATGAAAAAACATTGCACAATAATATTAAAAAAAGCTTGATCAAATTTTGTATTCCTTCACCCATAGTTATAAGGTAATATAATTAACTATTTATTTTTAAAATGATATAATATTGATGTATTTATTTTATATAACAATTTGTATTCATTGGTAGCGATGTAAACATTTTATCACAATCAGTTCCACCTGCTACTGCAGAATGGACCAATTTATTGCGCCCATTGCGTGGCCGTGAACCTGAAGGTTTATGGAATTTATTATCAATTGTAAGAGAAATGTTTCGTAGAAATGACGAGAATGCTTTACATCTATTAGAAGTACTTACAGAAGAAGCTGTTGCATGTGATCAAGTACAGACAAATATAAACTTGCTATCTAAATTGTTCTTTGTACCAATGTTAAATTATAATTTTTAGATCATGGTTTGGTGGTTTAACACAAAAGTAGCATTGCATGGAGGAGGCTTAAACGGAACTAGTAAACAGCATACTGGTTCTACTGGAAACACCAATACAGCATCACATGCTTGTGCATTACTGTGTGATGAGATGGTTACACTTTGGCGTTTGGCTGCATTAAATCCAAGCAATTCTCCTGATATTAAGTCAGTATTGAAAATAAAATTTAAAGATTGGCAAGAAAAAATCTTTTCTAGGGTATGTGGTTATACATGAGGTATTAATATTTATAATATTTCTTATAGCTTAGTAAGTTTAATTGAAATTTTAGGTAATGAAACACAGAAATATGGCAAACACTAAATCAGCAAATCATTTTCGTCAAGATACAGAAATTTTTATTGGTTTCAATCCAGCTTGTGATGCTTGTGACTTGGACTGGGGAGATTATCCATTAGCTGGTATCACATATGGTACCACTTGTTGTTGTGATAATGGTTCTTGTGTACACATTAAACACACAGGAACAGCTCCACATTTTATAGGAGACCATGTAAATTGGAATGAATGTGGTTCATCTACAAGAGTAAGTTAATGCATAATTTTTAATCAAATTATGAAAATTTCATTATTTAGATTGTTCTTTTTACCTTTTTATTAAATTTTATACATAATATGGTGTAGAAAAAAAATTGACCTCAAGTCATTAATCTTGTAAGCTATTAAAAAATTTCACAATTACATTTTTAATAGTGTTCTTTTTTTTTTTTAGGGAAACTGTTCTAAGAAGTCTTTCCCTGAATGTTATTTGGACATAAAAAATAACAAACATTTACACTATGGAAATCGCACATATCGACCAGAATATCGTAATAAATCACACATGCGTACATCTATTCGTGCGCCTAATGCTGAGTATGTATATTTTGTATAATTATTATGAATATAATTTTGCATTATATCCAAATTTAATATATGTTACAGAAATAGACCAATGGCTAATGTGTATTGGTTGCCACGAAATATATCACAACCAGATGATGAAACTACTAATAATATCATTATTCCTGAAACTGTTCCTGTGGCTTATTTAAATAATGAATCGGACCCATTAGCTAGTTGCACAAGTATTATTATTTATTTTATTAAAATAAAATTTAAATTTCAAAATGCATATTACTCAAATTTATAATTTCGTTTTACTTTAGATTTGAATGCATCTACAAGTTCCTCATCAAGTACTCAACCAGGTACACCTCTTCAAATTAATAGTGTTTCCAATACATCATCTGAAAGCCAGAGTAGTGATGAAGGTGATCGATCAGCAGCACAAAAATCTACTTCTTCTCAGACTACCCCACCACCACAAGATGTAGATGATTACAATTTCCTATATAATTATGATTCCAAGAACTTAGCATCTAAATCATCAGACCACAATAAAAAAATACTGGATGTTAAATCATCAGATATTCAACGACCATCTACTTCTAAAACATCTGAACCTATTACTCCGTTAGTAAAACTAGATGAAGAATGGGATATAATGTTTTCGAGAGCTGAAGGACTTTACGCTTACGGACATACAAGTGAAGCTTGTGTACTTTGTGTAGAACTTGTAGATCAATTTTTAAAAAATCCTCCTAACTTTATATTTGATATACCTCAACCATCAATAAAAGCAAAACGAAAAAAAGTATGTAAAAAGAAAAATTATTTTTGTTTTTCATAAAATTAAAAAAAAAATTTGAACTTTAGATTAATCCAGTAAGTCATCACTTATCAACATTAGCATCTGAAATTCTCCAAAAATGCTATTTTTTGTGTTCTGTTTTGGCCGAACGAAAAGAATATTACATACATGCGTTTAAAATTGGCTTATATGGTTTGGAAATGCCAAGACTCCCAGCCAGTACAAAACCATTAGAAGTGAGTTTTATTAATTTAAATAAACTTAATTGCATACCTAATACATACCTATACATATGTAATAAATGTACACATAATATTTTTATGTATATCCATTTGTTAAATTAACAAATATTATAATATTTAGGTAAAAATGGCTCACCAAGAAGGGGAAATTTTAAATAATTTAAAACGTATGTTGCCTTTGGGAAAGGAACAAGTGAGCATTCTCCAAAGTCGGGCAAAACTTCTGTGTGATGGTCTTTATAAATCGCGCGGTGAATCATTGTTGCCATTAAATTTGGCTTCATTTATCTTTGAATGTTTGGTAATGTGTCCGTCACCAACTCAAGATCAAACTTCTGATGAAGTTTTAGGCTTTGAAGCATCTGTGGCAGCTTTAGGTATGAAGGCTAACATAAGTGAAGCAGATCATCCATTACTCTGTGAAGGAATTAGACGACAAAGGTGTGTACAAATATTCTAAGTATAATATGTTTACAATTACAATTTTATATTTTATATTTAAGAGGTGACTTGGCAACAAGCATATTAATTCGTTACAAGAATAATCCTTTTCGTTTGGCAATGGCTATGGACAAACTGTTGGATAGAGAAGTACATCCATTTTTACAATCGGCTATGGATGCTTGTTGGTATAATATAAGAGATCCTAGAAACTTACCCTTAGTAATTATGAAGGATGTTGCAAGTAGTAATAATGCACAAAATCATTGTAAGTATAAAACATCTTAAAATTTAGAAAGACATACTTATGTAATGTAACTTGAAACTGGTGTTTGTTTTGAACACATAGCATCACAAAGTTACACTCCAAACAACTTAATTGTACCTGGAGATCTGGACCCAAATATTGCTGCTATGACATTGAATCCGGTACCACCTCAAAGCCAACCTAATAATTGTCCTGGAATGTCTTCTCATAGAAAAGATAACAGGTAAAGCAATTAATTATTTTCAAGATAGTTTTAGTCAGTCAATTTTTCATACAAATTGGACCAATAAGCGATGGCAAATTAATCATACTTACCAATGATAGATTTTAATTTTTAAAGTATGCATAGATTTGTTGAGAAACTGTCTAAGTTATTAAGGAAGCTGATTTTCAATTTTGAAGACCTTAAATTAAGAAATTATTTTTGTAAATTATGTGATTAATCACATTCACACTAGTATTGATTTTGGGCAGCAATTTGAAATCAAAAGATTGGCTTCCCGACGAATAGCATAGACAATTTGTCAAATAATCTATACATATTTCAACAATTTAAATCGGTCATTGAAAATTATGTTGAATTTCCACTGCTTATTAATTTTAAACAGCAATTTTCAACTTTTTATTTATAATTTTTTCTACTTATCAAATAATAAAATGTAAGTATAAATTATTTTAGATGTATGTAAGCTGATAACAGTTTCTTATTTTTACTCCTTATAGAAAATGACTGACTAGAACCTCTTTTATGAAAATAGACAAATCAAAAAATAAATGTTACATGTTTCACTATTTAATTTGAACAATAATTATTATTTAGGTATAAGAGTATCAAGCGCATATATCCTAGTCAACCTAACCAAGCTTCAGAGGCTAATGCTCACTACCTATTTGAATTGGGTAAAACTATTTTGAGTAAAGTAGGTGGACCGATACAGACTACTGTTTTCTCACAACCTCCGCTACCTACTCAACCTCATCGTGCTCTGCATATGTGTGCATTCCAATTATCCTTGTATTCTTTGGGACTTCTTAACCGTGTTACGCCCAATTGGCGTATTCGTAACTATTCATCTCAAGTCACATGGATTGCTGACCACGCAATGGAAATAGGTGCACCAGCTACTTTGTTCTTACTTGCAACATGGGAGGGCCTTTTGACACCTACTGAAGTAGCAAATATGGCTGATAGAATGTCACGTAGTCATGAACGTAATACTGTTGAAGCAGCAGCTCAATTGGCACTATCATGTTTGAAACATTCTGCTTCTCTTAATCCAAATGAAATCACAAGAGCTATCATACAAGTAAGTATATAGTTATAATATCTCAGTTAAGTAAAAGTTCACAGTTTTAAATTAATTTATGTTTATTTCTGTTATTTTTAGTGTAAAGAACAGGCAGATTATATGATGGAAATCGCTTGTCTAACAGTAGAAATGGCAGCTAAAGGCGGTGGAGTTTTTCCTGAAGTTTTATTTAGCGTAGCGAAACACTGGTTTGACTTGTACATGAGAGTAAGTATTCTTTGTGTACTTAAGTACTTGTAGTGTAAAAATCTATTTTTATTTGTTTTTGTTTTTTAGCATCCTAATACAGATGAAGACAATTACACGCTACAGGTAGAGCCATATTCAACCAATCATCCAATGCCAGTTGATGCTAACCAACAACCACCTGCTCCTCCTGTTCCTGTCTACACTCATCAGTTAATAGCACCTCCACCAACCTCTCATACTCCTCTGTATCAACTTTCATATTTTGCTAACAGATCGAGGGCTCAAAGCTCTCAGCCCACTAATACCCAGCAGTCCAACACTGTAATGTATTACCCATATTCTGCAATTTCTTCATCAAACCCATATCCACAGTATTATTCTCCATATATCCAGGTAATTATACAAATATTATTTCATTATTATAACCTTAAAAACTTTATTTATATGCAAACTAAACAACTATTATTTTTTTTGTTTTATTAAAGAGTCCTGTACAGTACCAAAATGGGAATACTCAAAGCCAACCGTCACAACAATCATCCCAATATTTTATTCAACCTCTTAACCAAAGTGGAAATCAAATTAGAAGTCCACCACCACAATCTCAGGTAGTATTAATTTTATTTTTTGATTATAAAAACAATACATTATCGTTATCCATTCTCTAAATCAACTTGTGTAGGCCAATATTTGTCCACCATCAAACATACGGCAAGTCCATCATTTGACATCTGCATATCGTGTTGGTTTATTGGCTTTGGAAATGTTGGCCAGACGTGTTCATGAACCTAATCAAGCCAAGTACTCGAGGAATCCACCATTTAGAGATGAAATTCTGTGGTTGTTACGTTTATCAAAGAAATTAGGTATGTTTCGTTCTCAATATAATATATAAAATAGAGTGTATTGTGCTGTTCTATATTAAATGTGATATATTTATTTAATAGCATTAAATTATTATACAACATTGTTTTTTCTTCAGGAGCGAACTACACTCAACAGTTTTGTATAGCCGTCACTAATAGTGTAGTGAATCCCTTCACACTTCATGATGTTGCAATGGAAACCGTTATATACATGAGACATTTCAGTCCTAATCCGACCATGTGCCCTTCATTGGGTCCTTTAATAGAAAAGTGTCATTCTATGTTAGTAATATCATAATAATTCAATGTTAAATTTCCTCATACCATATCAGTTAATATAATTTATACATACACACAGGTACATTCAATTGCTTCATCAAAAGTTATATCAGTTGTCATCACCAGACTATGAAGAGTATGTTGGAATACTTTTTTCTGCGTATGGTGCGTTCGCAATTACACCAGAAGGGAGTATTATGTTTAAGGATTGGCTACAGACTGTTAGAAGGTAATTATTAAAATAATATTTTAGCAACAGTATTTATTTTTTTATTTGAAATATATTATTAGTCAGGAATATTGACTATTATTGATTTTAAGTGAATCCATCAACTTTTTAAATTTAATATGTATATAATACTCAATATTTTAATAGTAGTTAAAATTCTGTATTAATATTAATGTGTTTACTGTTTACATATATTTCTGTTTACCTATAAAGTACCTATATAAAAAAAAATAGTAAATATATAAAAACACTGTTGTAGAAACAGTAACTTCTCAGTTACATATCAAAGCTAAAATATTAATTAATACGAGTCCTTTTTATTTTGATGAATTTATTTAAATTTAAAATTAAAGTAAAACAAATATTTTTTTTTATTATTTTTTATAAATTTAAATATTAATGTTATTAATTATTAATAAATATAAACTTATTAACAATGAAAAAAACAAATTATATACGATCAGTGTATAACTGGCAGTAGTGCCTACTGTTCACACTACATAAATATAAAAAAAAAAAATACTCGTGTATAGCATTAAATAAGCTTATAAAACCAAGTCATTTTGTGTATATGTATAATATGTGTTTTATACATTGCTGAATTTACAATTATAACTACCTGTTAAATTTATGTTTTTATATTTGTCATTTCAGATCAAAATCATGTAAAAAAGAACTGTGGACAATGATAACGAATGTACTACCTACTACTTGACATTCGTCTTCTGAAGTAGTTGTACTCTCCGAGGGCAGCGTTTCGTCCTAAACAACAACAACAATGTACAGCGTACAGCGATTTAGTTTTTCCTTTTTATTTTTTCATTTTTAAACAATTAGACACAGTTTTAACGAACCGGACATTTTCGATGATTTTCTATATATTTATATATTGAGTTGGTGTAACTTAACATTATAGATATCAACACATTTTTAAAGTATATTAGTTAATTTTTTTTTTGTATTTTTTTTTTTTTTGTTCACCTAGCTAATTTCATTTGAATTATTATATTATGTTATTTTACTCACTTTTATTTTTTTCTTACATTTTACTTTTATTTTTGTTTCTTATTTTTTAAATATTCGTGCGTGCGTTAAGTCCCGTTACACTGTATAAGCATAAGCTGAATATTATAATAAGACTGTTTTTTTATGTACTCAACACGTACAAGTATTATTTAAATCATAGGCTAGCTTATGTTATAAGGCTTTAACATTAAACATTATGAATAATTTATAAACGCAAAGACTTACATAGGTAACCTATTTTACAAAGGAAAGTTTTTGTATCCCTTTCATTCCTCCCCTATTCAGGACTACTTACAATAAAAGATATTTAAGATTTCTAGGTTAAAATTTGATTGATGACAACACAAACGTAGCAAATTATATAATATTTTTCTGTGTTGTCATCACCGTGGTCAATTTTGTTGGAAGAAAAAATATTTGCAGCTAGTGTATTAACTTTTTGATATTAGTGAATTATGTAACAATAAAAATTGTACAATGTATTATATATAATACATATGTATTGTTGTGTGTATCTTTTTTAAAAAATAATTACTGTTGAAACATTTTAGACGAATAATTAACGAAATAAACATTTTAGATATCATTTGGTCACACAAAATTATTGACAGGCAAAAACTAATTAGAATACATGATTTTAATGGCGGAATCACTGAAATATAATATTTAGTTCTATAAAATATATGATGGATTGCTCTCAATAATTTATTTTAATTATGCTTTCAGTTATTTGACACTGTGATTCTTTTGTGTGAACTGTATTTTAAATAAAAGCTACGACCACTCGCTCATTTACCTGTGCTCACCTTAATGATACTTAAACAAATTACAATTATAAAAATTAAAGATAAAAAAAAAAAAAAAAAAATGAATTATAGAGGGTATTAAAAATAAAATATATATTATTTCTTCAAAATAATAATAAAAAAAAAATATATTCCCATCATAATCCTTTGTAATTGAATTTAAAGTGTTAAAATAAAAAAAAACAAAATGTTAATTATATATTTATATATTAGGTATATGAATATATTATGCAATATTTACATATTATATTTACTCGTAATACTCTTAAGGATTTATATGTAATGAATAAAAAAAATAAAAATATTATATCAAATATATATAAATATATTATAATAAATCAATCGTACATTAGTTATTAAATGTTATTATTTTGTAAAATTGAATATTAATTTAATTCTGAATGTTTTTTTTTTTTTTTTTTTTATGACAATGGATTATATTAAGATCGTAATGATATTACATTAAGCGTTTTATTATGACGTGTGAATCTTATAGTTCAATAATATTTATAATTAATAATAATTATATATTAAAAAATTAATTATTATGAAATATAAAAAAGTAAATATAATAAAATTAATTTATATATATATATATATATACTAGCCTTTTTCATAATATAGGCAAAAGTAATAAATTGATTGGGGTTTTTTTTTTTTTTCATTTTATTAAAAATTTTAAACCTTGCTCGTGTTATATACAAATCAAGCATGCATACAATATTGCATAATATATTATTATATTTGTTTTTTTAGCATACGGCTACTAATACTACCTGTTCGAATTGCGTATGGTCTGTGATGCGCGTGCAGGGCATAACTAGAAATAATAATATTAACGAAGAAACGTTTTTATTTGGTGCTATGAGAACACGTAGCTATAGTATACAGAAAATTAATTTTTCTGAGAAAGTAGGATACGTACAGTTATTCAATTAATATCCGTAAGCAACGATCAATAAATCATTGCTGACGAAATACGATTCCGAGCGGAGATCCATTGTACGTGTTCTGAATGTGGTAGTTGATACGGTTTGAACACGAAAAAACTGCTACGAGTTTTTACTTGTTTTTTTTTTTTCTTTGCTTATAATGAAACTCTTGTTGAATTTTCAAACATATCGGTTTGACCAGACAATTTTCCCCGTCGCCTAAAACCTAAAACGAAAAATAGAAAAATGAAAAAATAGCCAGAATGTTTTGACGATTTTACCGCCTTTAGAAAACGCTAATATAAAGGCTTGGTATTGTGTGAAAATCGTACGATTACTTTTAATATATTAACAGAGAAAAAAATCCCACCTCCCCTTCTTTTTATACCAACGCAAAACATCAAAATTCATACATAATATAATTAATATTAAATACGCATCTTGTATCAACCACAAACGTCAACGTCCAACGCATACCCACCCGACCGTAGAATTTCTCGCGACTCGGCCGCGTCAATTCGACCCCGTTCACGCCGTCGCTATGCATCACGCAGCGTAACGATGTAGACCAGCGGTCACCCGCTACATAGAAGAAGGATGTCAAATTTAATTTTTGAAAATTGCTCGGGGCCGCGTTGTGTAAATCAATTCGAATATTTTTTTTTTTTTCATTAAATAAATTCTTGCTCGTAAGTACTTACCTGTTCAATTATCCGTGAAATTGGTAATTCAGTAACAGTTAAAAATCGACGGATAAACAAGATAAACAAAAGGTTCATAATTGTGTGTGCATTTTATTTTATTTACTTTTTAAAAGTGTAGAATGATGGGATTTTAGAATGTGTTGGTGCAGTTCAGTTTTATTTTTGGCTGGCGTAGTGGGGACCGCTGATATTACATTCACGGTATAGGAGGCGGGTTACTCGTAAATTTCGATAATTTTCAATTTTTTTTTTTTTTCTAAACCAAAATCTGATATTATTGCAAAACGTATACGTGTTTATCTTTGGCGGCGTGTATATTAAATTACGCTTGACGGTATTTCGTGTACACATTTTTTTCTCGAAATATCGAGAAAATCGTAGACGATACATCGCGTGGTACTGATATTATAAAATATACATATTTATATTTTTTAGATTCTGAGTGTAGCGAAATGTAATTGTATGTAATGTATAGTATTCGCGAAATGTATTGGTTTTATTAGGATGTTAATTTTTTTTTTTTATTGTTTTCATAATATTCGAGAAAAAACGGGAAATGTACGAAATTAATGCTGTTATTATTTTATCAATTTTGTTATTTGTTGAAATTCAGCTATAAATATTCGATTCTATGGACTTGAAATTCTGATAGAAAATGTATATTTGCCTTTTCTAGACGTGGTAAAATTTTCAAAAAATTTAAGCCATTTTTGAGCTATTTATAAACATTTTAATTTTGCGAGATTTGTACGTAATTTTTAATCGTTAGGTACTGTAGGTGTGGTAAAATTATTTGACGTAACAGAAATGTTTGAAAATTTAACAGGAGGTTCATTAAATCTTACTTTGTAATCAAAAAAAAAAAAAAAATTGAGTTTAATGTAGTATTTGTTTTTATAAAGGAATTTCGACGCTATATTTTGACGAAAATCGTTTGAGTAAAAAATGATGTAGAATAAATCTAATTTTTCAATTTTTTTTTTTTTTTTTTTTTCGGACATTTGTGTATTGCCGATTTAAGAAGAATGGTAAAATCTGAATCGAGCGGACTGACAAAGTTTCGAAATCGTAGCTTTATTGAATTTCAGACATTATGCAGATATTACATGTTTATGTTAAATAACTCTATACTGCCACATTGTCGTATGTTTATTGTAGTTGAACGGTCATGAATACGTATTGTCAGACTTGGGTTCACGGGTTCAAGCGAAGGGGTTCGAAAAGGAATTGTTTGCACTTTTTTGTTACCTTTTACCTAACCAGGGAAATAGCAAATGCAATTTTATGTGTACCCGCAGGCCTAGTCATCGTTCGCTATCGGACGATTTCAATCGAGAAATACTCCTCGATTTGTTGTGCAAAATTTTCTACCAGAAATCTTGCTCCCGCGTATCGAGTGTAGCTTATTTCCTGAAAGGAAATGTTATCTCCGTGGTTTAGGGAGGTCATTTTTATGATTTTCCAATCGGTTTTCATAATAAATGGGAAAAACCGGGATAAAACGTCGGAAAAACAGAAAACGTACGAAATGTAGATGTCAGTAAAAATACATTATGGCCTTTTTTTCGGTGTACAATTTTTCTACTAGCGGTTTCGTTCCGATTCACAATGATACCCCGTTTTTTCTGAGTGTAACTCCGAATGGGAGGTCATTTTTCGATTTTGCCAAGAGTTTTCTAATCAAATGTGATAATCTGGGAAAAAAACACGGGAAAACCGGAAAAAAAAAACGACGCAATGTCAAACAAATATTAATAAAGAAAATATATAATGCCTGTTTAATTATTTATCCATAATATGACATATATATACATATATTGTTGACAAAGCGTCTCACTGAAAACTGAATTGCGCTCAGAGTCGTTTTTTCGTCAGCAATGGTTCATTGTTGCTTACAGATATACATTAAATTACCTATAACAGTGGCTGCATCCGTATCCATTATCCTAGGACGTCTGTTTTTTTTACTGAATTCGAAAAATAGATATACATATAAATTTAAAATGTTTTTTTTTAAAGTCCTAGCGATTCATCTATTTCCATTAAGCACGCTTGTGGCGGAGATAGAGAGTTAAGATAACGTATACGTGCAAATTACAAGAATTACAAACAGTAGTCAAGATTTTTGTTAACAAAATACAATCGTTTAAAACATAAGATATCATTTCAAAAATTAATTATGAGACTAAATACAAACAGCACACGGAACCGGTAAAAAATATACAGACATTTTTTTAAATTGAAATACTAACAATGAATATGCTTAGGTTTTTTTTTTTCTTTTTATACGAATCAGAATAATTATTTTTCAAGTTTAAGAGTAGCCGCCTATTTGCAATGTGTTTAGCGGAGTTATGAGACATTAGATCTACGATAAATCGAAAGTGATGGATTTTTCCTAGTTCCTCACGCGCGCCGTCGAAACCAAACTCGACACAATATTATCGTCCGCTTTAATCGCTTTTCCGATTGCGCCCTTATGCTGTCCGCACGCAAATATCATTGGCCGTGCGTACACGGCAATAGTGTGCACCCTGTATAATGCATAGGCGCGTAGTATGGACCGTTTAATTTTAAATTGTTTTCATTTTTTCAAAACATACACCCTCGCCTATATATACACCGAAGAGCTGTTTTAATGAATTCCTGCGAGTTGTAATTATTATTATTATTATAATTTTTTTTTTTTTCTATTATTTTCATTTACCTAATATATATATATATATATATATACTTCCCCCTTTGACTTAAAAAAAAAAAGCAAAAAAAGTAATAATAAAAACCTAATTATTTTTTTCCTCCGAGAAAGGACTGAAATTATTCTCTCAAGAATACACTAATTAATCTTATTCGAATAATACTTAGTATTATTATTATTATTATTTTTTTTTTTTTGTCTTAAATATTTTATAATGACCGAAAAAATCTACCTATTGATTTTTTTTTCTTTCGCATTCGCAGTAACATTCGTTATCGACAAATTCTTCAATTCCGAAATGCACCGTATAGTATCATAATAATAATAATAATAATAACAACAATAGTTTTATTATCAAATGTGTTCAAATGTTATCTTTTAGTACTATTGAAAAATAACGAAGATCTAACTGGAAGCCACTAACCGTTGGACAATGAACTCGGTACGATCATAATGTAGAACTCAATGCGTCGACGGATTTACGCGATAATTGCCGCCCGTGGGCAAATTTTATTCTGTCGCCCCATTAAACCCGTCAATGGGTAGACGAGTTTTTTAGTACTCGTTTCACACGACTACTAAAATTCTAGCTATTTTCATTTTACGTTTTTTTTTTTATCGGTAGGTGTGTACGTACGGGGCCGTGTGGGTAGGACGCAGGTACTAACGATAATTAAGCGAAACAATACAGTCATGGGCAATCGTAATTATTCGCTGGCTCGAAATAGTTCTATCGGAAGTATACTGCTGGCCAATTAAATTGCACGAACAAATCAACTGTTGCATCGCGGATACGGTCGCCGGAAAAGTCAACGGAGGGCTCGGCAACCGAGCGCGTAACATCGATGTGCATTTATACGGATATTTGTTGGAAAACCAAACGAATACGATTACTGGAAAATCAGAATACTCAGGTATACATCGTTTATTATCATATGCAGGTCACAGCGTTAGGGAAATACGAAAATTCAATGCGTTTTTTTTATCTATATAATTTCCCCCGGTGTTACACGAGAGGAGAAAAAACCAGATTCGATTTGCCGTAACAATGAAATGGTGTGCGTTTTTATAACAGAAAGTTCGATTTTTTTTTTTTTTTTGTCCGGGGTATATTTCGAAAATGCCCGCTCGATCCGCGTGTCTCCGGTGTAATATCGTACCTATG